TGTACATGGGGAAATGTCTTTATGGACTTATGGGTGTTAACTGCAGCAGCTACAATATAAACCCAGGGCCTTTTGGCTGGCCCCTACTTTTTTCACACTCTTTCAAAAGACTGTTTGATCCTTAAAATTTGGTTTTAGGGTAAAGGTGTGATTTAGGCTAGGACAGAGGTAAAGGGTTGGGGTTAGGCACTTATGGTAAATTGGGATTAATAAGTATTTGGGTAAGGAGCTAAAGACTTCATGAGGTCAATGACTATCTTTACAAAGACAGCAAAACCAGTGTGAGATGTGTGAGGACGCGTGCATGTGCCTGCGTGCATACCTTCACATGCAGTATAGCTGTCCCTGGAGGGTGGGCATCAGTGATAGTTCTCAGAAGCTTCCCATTGGCTAGATCCCACATTGTAATCTAATCATGCCAACAGAAACAGACAGAACTAGAAAATCTTTTCAGGATCTCAACTGCAAGAGGCAGACACGATAATCCATATTATTGTACAGTCTATATTATAGGGTCAGAATTGTGACAGGCAGAAGCCTTTACAAAAAAATTCCTCCTTCAGTTGGTAAATTACGTTTTTCCCATCTAATCTAACCTCTTCTGTTGGGGCAAGGTTGAGGAACCAGCATGTCCATTGTGCCAAGGAAGAGGAAACACCAAAGCACATCCTTAGTACCTGCCCTAAAGCACTGGGGGAGGGTTATTATAACTGGCGACACAACCAAGTGTTGAAGGCAATCGCTGAATTCAACTGCAGCACCATCACCCAGAGGACTAGTCCTCAACCATCCAGATGCGACATCACATTTGTGAGAGTGGGACAACATCCAGATCCGTGACTAAAAGCCCAGGCATCCCTCCTTGGAACAGCGAGCAACAACTCAAGTTCCCTGGAGTCACTGTGGAGTCAATCCTCCGGCCACACATTGTGCTGTTATCAGAGACATCTAAACAGGTGGTCATGCTGGAGGTTACAGTGCCCAGGGAGGAGCAAGTGGATGAGGTCAGCAAAAGGAAGAAGGAGAAGTATGCTCAGATAGACACCACCAGGTGCAGAAAGAGCCAGCAACCCAACTTGAATCTTCTGAAGACATACCCCACGGGAGCCCAAGACAGGGGGAGAATTAACACTCCAGAGCACAGACCAAAAGGCAACAACCAATGCATTTAGACAAACAACAAGTGCATTATGTGTCTGCAGCAAGAGCTGGAAAAACTTGCAAAGCCTGAAGATCCACCATTTCAAGATGAAATGTGTGGTCAGCGAGCAACTGAAGCAATGCACAGGGAGCAACCCTGGTGAGAAGCAGGAGGAAGCCTGCCAGGAGTTACCCCACAGTGTCTGGAGCTCCAAGTTCCAGAAGTTCAACCACCACCCACAACACAGCAACATTCACACGGTTAAATGGCCTCCATCCAGGAATGGGAATGAGTCGTGCAACTTTGAAGTGGAGAAGGATAACAACCTGGAAGCAACAATGAAAGGGCCGGCCAGTGTCATACACAGCCTTTGGACAAGCCACTTAACCTTTTCAAATATTAAAAAAAAAAAGAAAAAAGAAAAAAGAAAGAAAAGAAAAAAATGCACAAAAGAGCCATATTAACAGAACTAACTTTTCTCTGTTCCATTGATTCTGACTCAGATGTTACTATTAAAACTACATGTCTAGAGATGGATTATGCTACATCCATAACAAATGTATACACTTCTGCTGCCCTCACTACGCGTTTGCGTACATAGCTATGCAGCGGCCTAAACACTCTCCCATGAAGAACCCCAAACAGGAGCTGACTTCAGGTGTTTTTAATGGAAGCCGTGTAAAAAGATTATGCTTCTGCAGAGCACCGTGAAACAGATGCATCCAGGTTGCAGGGCAGCTTCAACATTCAAAACTGATAACTTCATTGAACACCTGAGCTATACACGAACAAGGCCAGTAGGTGGCACTTTACTCACTTAACCACATACTGAGTCACACTCTAGGAGAAGCAGAACAACACTATTAGCTTGCATGTTGAATATCTTGCCTTCAAAAACCATGTGAACACTAGCCAAAAAGCAACATGCGACACCTTGATATCTAACAGAAAGTCAGACTTTTCCCTAGGTGGACTACCACTTTGATAAGCTCCACCCTTCTGAACATTTAAAAACGTTTTTAAAGTTCTCTACACACAGTCAACAAACCTGTGATTGTACAAATGTAGTATTTACCTGTCCTTTGGCAAACCCACAGAGAAGTCGTGAGCAATCATAGTTGATGCTAAGGGCAGACACAGCTCCAAACTCTGCTCCAGTAGTCTTGGTGCCCAGACACAGCCGCAGAGCCTGGTTGGTATCTGGAGAAGAGGAGAAAGAGGACATTTACCCTGCTGAAGTCAGAGTACAGCTTAACAAAGGTGTGAAAGGTAAAATAAATTGAAAAAAGACAAACTTAAAGTATTCCCACTCTTCAAGTTTAACAGTAGACAAACAGAATCAAACAGCACATCCATATGGGCGCACATTGTCAACAAATGAATAGCTGGAAAAGCAAAACTAATAATTGCAAATAACCAAGAGAGACCACAAAGCATGCATCAAAATAGTTCAGGCAAACCAAAGTGCACATGAATGACAATGTCTCAGAGTCAGTCAGATAGAACACAAAATGAACAACATTAAGTATGATCTGACAAGGATGGTCATACCTTTGCCTGGCCAGACATCATCGTCAGCAATATAAAGAGACATTGGTCAACCTTGCTGAAATTTGAATTGCTTCCTGTGAAGTATTACTCACAATTCATACCTGTGTGTCACTTTCTTTGTTTAGGTTGTGTTATGTAAGTTTAGTCCACAGAAAAGGTAGTTTTGAAAGTGGATGTCAGACAACAATTTCCACCATTTGAATATCCCTGCCACTTGCTACCCTGCTTCTTGTATTTATTGATTTATTTATTTTTTTGTCTGATTGTGAAGGAGAAACGAACAGTTCTCGCAATTCTTTTGGCAGATGTTGTAAAAAAGTAAACAGTAAATTAGAGAGTGATGCTAGGAAACCATTCTTATAAGACAAATTGGAAAAAAGACAAACAAAAGAAGACAAAAAAAGAAACCTGCAACTTAGGAAATCTAACTTCCTTAGGAAAAACTAAATGACTGGCAGTTTTTCTGCAATCTTTTGAAGACTCAGAGACCAGAAATTAGCAGTTAAGTGGTTGGTGACTTTGCTCATTAATCTGGTGAGTTAGTTTCCATTTCTGTGACAACTGCTTGCTGTGTGGTCATCCTTAGCCTTATTGTGTTTAGCCATGCTGACAAAGGGGCAGTACACACCATGGATCAGTGACAAAAACTGAGCTACAATGGGTTCACTCAACAGCAGGATCATGTCTGTGTGTTTTTATTGGACTGGTTATTTTATAGTGTTGCCCTGTGAACACAGCAGACCAATAAGTCCTGGCCCTCCAGACATCCCACCTTGTACAAATACTGAAAAATATTTTTTTAAAGGTCAAACAAAGCAAAGACTTTAACAAAAGCATACAGGATGTAATCAGTCTGATTCAATCCTGTCACAGTGATAAGGTGGCGGCAAATGTCAGGGAACAGAGAGGTGTGACAGGCTGGTATTGGTCATCAGATAAAGAGGGAGTCAACTGAAACCTAAAGGTCCTGATTAACTAAGTCAATAAAACCTAGAATGTGGGCAGTTGGTGTGCAACAAGTGTGACTTCAATCTGAAGCAAAGTTCTGTCACATCAAAAACTAGTTTTGGCATTTTTTTACTCTGCAGATCTTACAAAGGTAAGTACCCTATATTCACAAACTATGACAGACAGTAAACTGATGATTCAAACTCACCTTGACTAATGTTATCTGACGTTACCAAGGCTGTTCTATGTTTTACGACACTTCTTTCTACATAGGTATACAGTTTGTTTCATTACTAGTTGCAGGCACTTTTTTTCTACAGCACATCTAATCAAGGCCAAGTTCTGCGTATTTATCTCTTTAAAAGAGAATCCTTGGAAGGGTTAGGGGTAGGGTTTTACTTCATTAGTTGATTTAATATACACTGGAAGTTTCTAATCTTCAAGGAGAGTCAGATGTCAGCACAGGATCAGAGAGCTGAGTGATCACGCAACGTGTGATTTTGATATTGTTTGGATTTGCTAACACTCTCCTCTCTGTTACTGTAACACTGCAAATTTCCCACTGTAAGACTATTAAAGTCTTATCTAATAATAATCTGGTGTTAATAAACTGAATATCTCCCACATTTTATGCAGCAAAAAGGCACCATTTGGAAATGTACTTGTACTATGTATACAGAAAGTCAGTCTTTGCTCCCAAACTGCTAGCACGAGCAGGAGTAGTCAAGCTCCCTGACAAAGCCCTTGTGGTAATGTTTTCTGAAACTCCGCTGTCTACCTTCTCAGAACTTACTAAGTATATGACATTGAAATTGGGATTAATTTGGCACTTGCGCCATCATCTACACCTAATAATAATGACAAAGTGAACAAACATAGTTCTTGGAGTTTTGTCCGAAGAGTTCAGTTAACTATCACAAGATTGGAGAATCTGTAATTTACATATTTCTGTTCTTTACTTTATGAAAATATGCTTCATACTATGGGTTACTGACTGTAGATTTATGAGGAAAGAGTATGTTTAAGCTCAGAGGAAAGGAGAAATGTGATAACCGTTATGATGTATGTATGCATAGATTTACAGCAGCCAGTTTACAACAGTGCATGTAAACACTTTCTCCTGTAACCCACATTTACTGGTTGCTGAAGCCATCCTGCTTACTTTAGTACAGGTAAAAGATATGTGTTGACACTTGTTGAGGGAGACTTGGTAAAACTGGACTTTGTCATTCCAACAGTGGTTCTAGATTGCACTATTCCATCGATGGAAAACTTGGAGCTTTGATGACTAAAGGAAATGAAAGTAGCCTTTAGAAGATGGGTAAATAGCCATAAAGACATGCTGTGACTGGCTGTGGCATTTAAACCATGACTAATTTCATTTCCTGTAACACTTTGAGATTGTTTTTACAATGTAAAGTGTTTTTCAAATAAAATCTATTGTTATGAATTGGTAACCGGGTGCCTGTTGTTGTCCTGATATATCAATAGGACACTGAAAATAAAGGTACTTCCAACTGCCACCCAAAGCATTGTTTTTTTTTTCAAGGTCTTTTACAGAAACTAGTGGCTTGCTCTCATATGAGCACAACTTGAAACAGCATTTTTTTAGTTTATTCTTTTAATCCGAAGCACCAAACCTTAAAGTTAAGATTTCCGCAACTGCCACGACATCACATTGAATCATTATTCCAACTATTACGTCAATCAACAAAACAGAACTCCCTAAATCTGAGTTTCTCTACTTTAAAAATGCTGAAATAACTGAAATGATGCCATCTTGCCTCTAGTTCACAACCAGCCTTCTTCTGCCACCACTGCATACATCCTCATCATGCCTCATCGCAACTGCACTGTAGAGATCAACAACAACTCCGGCTGCTACACTCTGGTCAATCCAAGGTTTTTATTTTGCTTTTATACCTACCTTCCTCTGGAGAGTGACAGTACATGTTTCAACCTGACTTTTCAGTTCCCTCAGCTGTGGCAAGATTGTGTAACAGAAATCATAGACGCTTGCCTCTGCACTCACTGCATAGAGCAAATGAGCAAATACTGTAAAAACCAAAAGCATTAAAAGTGGTATAGTGTGGTTTTGCAAATTTGTTTGACCTTGTAGTGTGTTCTACAAATTGTATTTACTCATGCCAATACAATCAGACAGAACATTTTGTATTGCAATGCAGCTGAAACAAAATGTTTTTGTGGTTTGTGAGTTTATTGACAAAATACATTTTTCTAAGTGTTGTACTGTAATTTTGTTCACCGCTCTGACATGTTTTGCCTCCATGTTCAGAGTGTTCACTGAGAGTGGCTGCTGTGAAGTTCCTTTGCCACCGATGGTGGGCCCCTGCTCTGCTGCCAATGCACTGTTCAACAAGATCACTGGCGCTGCGACTGGAGCTGTCGGCGTCTTCACCTATGACCTTTTCAATGCTAACTTTAATGACTATAGCCACATCATGGCTGTCATGTACTCTGTGCCCTATGACCGAAACCTCTACTCCAATTGGTTTGCTGTGGGAATCTTTGAAAGAGGAAACAACTGTGACTATGATCTTTATGATATCATGTATAATGGAAGTGAAAATAATTTTGTAAGAGCAAAGGCTGATGGCTCCTGCATTTCTTATGGTGGTGACTATGTGACTGTCAGTGCCTCTATGTCAGACTCTGGTGAAGCAGTCCTGAGGGTGGACATCAGTGATGCTGGCATGTATTAAGTTAACAGAAGGTAGTTCATACTGTTATGTATGCCACATGAGATGATCACTGTCATCTTAATAAAATTTGTGTAATGCCAATCAAGTAGCAAAGCTGGTTTTGAGCTGAAATGATGCATACAGTAAGTATGGAAATTCAAATATATAAATATTCCCAGTTATCCAGGGGTAATTTTAGAAATATGATGCCTAATTAAAACTACAAGTTAAAAACTTCATTTTATGTGTCCATTAAAATCACGTTCTCTTCGCATTTGTTGATAAAAAAATGTAATGTCTCATTTTCTGAGTGACTGCATATTTAATTTAGCTGAATAATTTGCTTGCATTAGATTGATTACATATGAAATGACAAAGTGTCCACTGTTAACAAATAAAAAAATAATCAAATACATAAAAAATGTATGTTTGTCTTTGTCTTGTCTCTCAGGAATGTCTTCAGTTTCAAACTGGAGGAGACGTAGCTGTGATATTAACTATGTAATCTGCAACTAAAGAAGTTGGCCATTTAGTCTGTCTGTACCTGTGCAGACAAGAAATGTAGTATTTCAGTCAAAAATGTTCAAAACCGAATCCTATTCTGAGGAAGAAGAATAGAGAAAGCCCCTCCACACGAGCTGAGATGACTGGTTCCTTGTTGTGTTCTGAATCAGGTTCAAGGCATAAATGCTCAGACATGGTGGTGATTGCTTATTTTGTTAATAAGTTTACAAAGTTGATATTCATCAGAAGGTCTTTTAAGGAAATTTTAGCAAGATACTTGGGGGGGACCACCTAAAATACATTTTGTGTCAACCAACTAGACTTTGAGCCTGATTTAAAGCTGCGATAAGAAAACAACTATTCCTTTGTTGCAACA